AAAGAAAGAAAAAACAAACCTCCACAAAACCAAACATGCCCTTTCAGGTTGCACATTTAGTTTCTGATAAATCAGAATGGAGGAAATGGTTGCATTGGAACACAGGAAAGAATGGTAAGATAAACACACTGCCCTTTCATCTTACCTCCTCCTTTGGGGTTAGCTTTAGCAGCTCTAGCAATTCACTCCAGAGTAATTTAAGAGGTAACTCTATAACTTGGTGTGTGCCCTGTTTCTCTGCCCAAATTTATCATCCTGGAAGGCAGGGGTGGGGGAACAGCTCCTTCTCAACAGTTGCACTTCACAGTCTTGTGTGGTTGTTTATCTGTGATTGTTTGTGTGTATTAATATGCTCCAAGAGGTGGGAGCTGAGTTTGCTGCCTATGGTTTGCTGCCTCTGCTTTCTAAACAGTTCATTTTAGCAGAGGGTAAATGAATCTGCCTCTTGAGTCCCTGATTAACACAGGGGCCAGAGCTTACCTGTCTCTGTCACTTCTGCCTGCTCCAGGAGTGGGTCACACCCCAGGAACAGGATGACCCAAGGTGTGACTAGAGCACTTGCTCTATGGCTTTTTGGCTGTCAGTCTGTGCTCTGAGGAGACAAGGACAGAGGGAGGTCTTTTGCATGGGATAATAGAGGATTTATTGCTCTGGGGAATCTTGGGGGCAAAAGACAGAAAATGCGAGCATGCAACAGCTGAAATAGGGAAGAGGTTCAAAGGGAGGGTACAAAGCATCAGCTAATCAGAGATATCCTGGGGAGGGTAAAAGGCAGGGTTCACAAAATCATCATCCAGTGAGGGAGGCAGGGGGGAAATTGGGTCACATGGACTAATCAAGTGTTGACATTTAGGGGATTTCCAAAGTGGAATTCCAAGCATGTGGTGGGCCTAAGACAGATTGACAGGAGACTCAGGGTGGATTGACAGTGTGGGGTGGGAGGGTCTCATTTGGACCAAACCATCACCTTGGGCAATAACAGAACATACCATTAACGGAGAGCACACTGCAACACCTGGTGACAAGCAATCACCAGAAGCCCTATGTACTGCAGAACAAAACACTGCCATTTAGCAGTTTAACAGGGTTGGTTTGGTTTTGGGTTTTTGGGTTTTTTTTTTAACAAAGATGATATCAGTAAAGCAAAAGTTGGTGCCCAGCAGATAAGTGGGCGTTTAGCAGAAAATTCTGAAGAAAGTGGGAAAGATGACAGAAAAGGGTGTGATGAAATGAGCTCATCATTTGTACCTGTGAGTGTGGGATGAACTGTGGGGGAAGAGGAGGGAGTGGAACTGTAATGGGGAACCCGCCAAGTAGCTGTCTGGTTTTGAGAGTTTTTGGTGTCCCAAGGAAAAGCCCCAGAGAGTGGTTTAAAACCAGTTCTCACAGGGCTGTTAGTGCAATAGGAGAGATGCCCCCTCTGAGTGTTAAACTTGGCCTGTGAATAATGGAAGTTTCCACACTTGCTCCATTGGCATGTGGGATAAATCACTCCACCTCTGCACTTCAGTTTCCCTACTGATAAGAGAAGGTTGATGATAACAGCCTTTCAAAACACGATGACTAGAAGGATTCTGGAAAATGTGATTCAGAGCAACTCTTGGTTAGACCTACGTGTTTGAAGGGACAGGAGATGCTCCAGACTTCACTCAGTGGATTGAGAGCCATTCACTCATGAAAATTAAGAGCCTACCTGTTCTCATGTCATAGGTACATTAAGAGAAATACCGCTGTCCTTCCATCTTTGCAATCATTACTAGGGGAGGAGAGAGCCATGCACTTGATGATAAGCAAGTCTACCCTGATTGCTCTGCTCCTTAAAATTTCTGGAATTTCTACATCTCAGAACTTCATAAAACCTCAAATCAAAAATCAGAATTTATTTTCACTGAAATGTTCTCTAGGTCAGGAGATCTTCCATGCAAAGCAGAACCTGAACAGACAATACGATTTGGGTAAACTTGGAAAACCCAAGGCAAATTCTGCAGGAATTTTGTTCTAACACTGTCCTTCTTCTAGGCTTGAAAAATAAAAGCTAACCCTTTGGAGTTTTTAAGCCATGAAACAGACACCTCTGTTCCACTTAACAGAATGTGGAAGGTAGCTGCAAATGTCACCATGAACCCATCAACACACACTCAAAATACTGCCACTACTGCAGACGACAGAGAATTCCACTATAAAGCTGGTAGCTATTCACTGGCTGCAGTACCCAGTGCATTCAAATCAAGAACATAAGGGCAAACAAATTTTTAACATCTTGCTTCAAGTTAATCAGTGCACACTGCCTCTTTAGATTTAATGAGTCATCCTGCTAACTATTTAATGCACAATCACCCACAGTCCATTAGCAAACACCTTCAGGAGGCAAAAGGAGGGACAAGTCTAAACAGAGCTGGGAAGGCATTTGCCCACACAATCTTACCTCCTCCTTTGCTAATGGCTCTTCTTCCTCTTCTCTCTGTTCTCAAGGACAGAATCAGATGAGAGCTGCAGGGGAAGGGATTAGTCCTCACTTTATCTCTGGAGAGGCCAGGGCCCCTTCCAGGACAGTGCATCTCCTGGACAGCCACACACACACATGCACTTGGGGTCTTAATTGCCTCCCAAACCCTACAGTCTGTCTGGCAGCTAGCTGTGACTCCTGTCCCTCCCTTTCTTCCTCTGTTTTCCTATGCTTTTATTCTGCAAGTCACCCTGACCCCTTTCCTTCAGTCCCTTCCCTAAACACCCCATATTAAGTCTTATTCAAATCCCAAATGCTCTCCCTTCACATGCATCGATAAAATGTCCTATGTAACTTTCCCTTCTTGCCCATCAGTTCCCATTCCCTGCTTGGGTGGATGTCACAGGGATGACCTCTCTCGGGATAGCCCTGGGGGGAGCTGGGGCCCGGCGCGATTGGGGCTGTCTGGCTCCATTTGTGCTGCTGTGCTCTCTCATGTGCTGATGAGCTTCCACTGTGTCAGCACTGCTAAGCAGGGCTCTCCAGGTGTGCAGCCACAGCCTGGGAAATGACTGTGGATTTACCAACCTGACAGTGTGTGTTAGTCAACAGCACTGCGTGAGCATACAGGCTGTACCAGACTGGCTCCAAACTTCTCCAGGCTATAATCAGACTGAAGCTTCCCTCTTTCTCTCTTCCCCCTTTTCCCCCTCAGGAACAGGTTGCCAAAAAAGATTCTGTGAATTCCAGTGAGCTGTGGTACTCGACTGTCAGCCATGATGTAAAACATGAAGTCTTTGTGATTGACAGCAATAATCAGACAGAATATGCACTTGTCAGCCTGCCCAAGAGGAAGGCAAATGTCACCAGCCCTGAAGAGCATAGTGAATATGATGATGTCCTAGTAACTTAGAAGGCACCCTTTTGCCTGGGTGAATGATGATAACCATCCTACCTCTGCTGTTGGGTCTTCAGACAAATCTCTCTCTTGTTACCAAGCTTACCCATTAGGCTACGTCCACCAGTCATTTACTATGAGACTAATCTGTCCATCAACAGCTGGTCAGAGAAAGAAACATGGACTGGGTACAGGGCTTGACAATTAAACCAGGGGAATCTGTACCAGCTGGCATCATAACACAATGCTTCTCTATAGAAAATTAGGACCTACAATATTTTAAGCAACTGAGGCTGTACATTTTTCTGGACTTGTAGAATACTTCTTTTTTTAAAGGGGCCTTAAAGAACTACTGCTATAAATCTCAAAAATGCAATAAGAACAGGATCTTTCTGTTTGTTTGGGGAACGTTTCTTATCTTAAATGAAAGCATAAACCTTGTGTTAGATCCATTTACTCTTGTACAAAATTTCTCTGACATGCTTGATTTGTACCATTATACAATGCACAATTTTAATAAAGAACTACTCATTCCTTCTATTCAAATTAATATTGATCATTCACACAAAACATCTAACTTGATATAATTATGTGTTTTCACACTGCTGTGTCCCTAATGGATTGAGTCATAATTAATTCACTTTTTAATTTTCTTTTACATGATCAATTTACCTCACAGATATATAACCAGAAACTACTTTTTTTTTTTTTTTTTTAATGTTTCCTTCAATCCTGACTGGATGCAGTCTGTAAAGTCAGACATTTCCTGTTGAATATCACATCTTACTCCAGCCCCACCTCCTTCTTCCATGTGAGGTTCTGGGGTAAAGGTATGGATGTAGAGGAGGATGGGTGGGAAAAAATGAATGCTTGACTCCTTTCTCAACTCTTAATGCCCATATGGGTATCACCATAAATAAGTCTATTCATTACATTATTTTTCAGTTCCTAGAATCAAGGTAAAGAAGTGTTCAGGGAAGGGATCAGGTGTCTTGGTGAGAGCAATAAGATTGAGCAGCATCTCAACAGCAGTTTATTTCTTTGCTGTTGGTACTTTCATAGCCAGCTGCTTTTGGGACAAGCCATACAGGCCATGAACTTTGTTCTTCCCCAGCATAAGGATCAAAAGAAATCTCTCTTCTAACTGTGTGCTGCATAGACTATTACAGGAAGAGAAATTACAGTTCTTAAAGTCAATGCTATATCTTACAAACCAAGAGGGAATCAGAATAAGCCACAAATCTGAGAGTCATGCAAACTACTAATTTGGTCTGGGATGTTTCCCAAGCTCAGTTTAAACACATGCAACAGCAACTATGGGTTTGAGTGTGCAGTTCTCTCAGACATGCTTCATACAGCTCAGCATTTAGAATTCCAATGGCTGTTTTCCAACTCACACAGCTGAAAGACTAGAGCTGCTAAAGAATGAAAACAGTCACTTTAAGAGTAAAAAAAAATAATTTAATGGACTATAACATTGTTAGATTACTCCTTAAATAAACCAGTAATATTAGAAAGAGAAAAACAATTTTCCAGGACATATTTCTTACAATACAAAATGCTTCTTAAAATAAAATATCTAACAGTGCTAATATTTATAAGGCTATAAATAAATGACAAGATATACTTCACTCACATGGTAGTGAATATGTTCCATTCTGCATAAAAGTAATGCTTAGTTTTTATGTTATAGCCAGTTACTGGCCTACTGACTGCTGGCCCATGTCACCTGCTTCGGCACCTTTCTCTTGGCACTGATTCATCTCATCTGGTCTCTCATCAACAAGAACGACTATTTACTGCCTTATTAAGGCAAATACCTTACATCTGTTCATTTTTATCCCCAGTGCCGGGCAGGAACGATAATTAAGGGCATAGAGTAGTGTTCAGATTTACAAAAACAGGTCAAGCATCTGTCTATTCACTGGTAGCAGTAGCTAACTGTAAAAGCACACTGCTAATTCGACCTTTTAAAAATTCCTGTGATGTTCGCACGCGTTAGTGAACAAGACATGTCTCTTCATGCTGTTGCTTCTTCTTTCATATTTCACATTGAAGAAGAGAAAAATAGAGCAAAGAGCACCTTAACCAAGGAGACTGTAGGAAGAATAAGGAAATCATGAGAGTTAAAGCGTTCTTAAGAAGCTAGAGCAGAGACCTTGCACATAAGTAAAGAATACAAATATATATATATATATATGTATGTATGTATGTATGTTTTCAGGCTGTTTTACAAGGAAATAGCAACAAGGAAATATGGCATGTGAAATTTGGAGGGAAAAAAACCAGATATGAGTTTGAGTGGAAGTGAGCATTGAGGATAAAGCTGTGCAGATAATTTTGCACAGGCCAAGAGATGAAAAAGGAGCCATGTGCAAGACTGCTTTTAAAGCTCATGCAGAGCATTCAGATTTAATCATAAGGCAAGACAAAGAAGAGCTTTCAAAGTCAACAGAACATGTATCAGATGCATGGTTTTCTCAAGAGTGAAATGGATTATTGAGATATAAAAGAAGGAGGTAGTAGTGCTGTAGCAATACAACATCGTCATAAATATACCATATTTTCCATTTACAATATTGCATCACAGGCAATATTTACAGGACAACAATTTTAGAAGTGTTTCTACCTAATGCATAGTTCCTTGCCCTGGGATTGCTTATAGATAGGGAATTCCATCTCTTCTAGGTGGTGATGAAGGTGAGGAATCTTTCCATAATTTCTCTGAAAATTAAAACAGTACAATATTAATATTAAAATAAAGCTTTAAGTAGTTATTTCAACATATTCTTTCCTATCTCTTTTTATGCTACTTTTTCTATAAATCTTTTCAAGATATAAGGAATAAAATGCTTCTAGAAATTGAAACTCACAGCTTGTTGATCTCTTGTCCCGTGGTAAGAGTCCCAAGAAAAACCAATGCAAGTTAATTGCAAACCTTACTTACCTACACTGCAATGCTGAATTGTTAGCCTAGGATTATTCTAAAAGCACATTGGTGTGACTCAGTAAATTGGGACTGGGGGGAGACAGCTCCATGCATTATTCTCAGTATAGCTTCAAAGCTCAGGGGACTTTTATATGGGCATTTCTATCAGTACAAATATAAATGCTTTGGAATCACTACTGCCTGGTCACTGGTAGTCATTGGACTCACTGCCTAGAAAATCTGGAAGAATGAGCACTTGTTTTCTTTAAAGGTGTTTCTGTGTGTAATCAAATTTCCAAAAAACTACAAAAAGACACAAATCAGGAGTCTTTTTTATCCCTTGGATTAAAACTTGTTTTGTTAGCATTCAGCATCAAATGTACAATAAGGAGAAATATTTTAATTATTTGCTTCCCCTATATGGTACACACACATATAAGGAGAGTTTTATGGTATAGATAAAATGCAATATTAGATCAGAAAAGTTTGGTTGGAGTCCACAGCTAACCAGTCTCATCACTATTCCTTTTCTCATCAGAGGACCAAACAGTGAGTGTCAGGTTTTAAGTTAAGCATATCAAGACTTTCTGAAAGCTATTTTAAAATGTTCTTAATATTGTTATGCAAATCATATATACTAATGAATCCAAATATCTTTCTAGAAATATTTCCCTCCTTTTCCATAAATACCTCTGCCCTTTGTAAAGAAACAATTTCTCTAATGTACAGCACTTACACGTGAGAGAAGTTGGGTTGAGCTTTAACCTGTCACATTCAGATGCCCCAGGATTAAGAGTATCTTCATCATAAATATTCTGACGCAAAATGTTCCTTATAAAATCCGGGTTCATATTGTTTTCCATAAATCCCTCTGTTGATGGTGGTACAGAAAACACTAGCTGATAAATTACAGTGGAGCTTTCATTACTGCAAAACAAAGTCAAGGATGAAAGTCTTCAAGTTTCAACAGGATCTTTCTTTTTGGTTCTTTTTTTTGAAGACTGACTTTTCATATCAATGTTGGAACGGATTCTTTGTTTAAAAAACATTTCCCCAAGAAAAACATTATGAATGAAAACTGCCAGAGATGCTGGCTTCCGCCTCCCCCTCCCTTCTCAGAACAGCTCTTGAGACTTGAAGCCAGCCAGAGACATGTTTTCAGATGCAGGAGGGGCAGCTGGACACGTGTTCTGATGGGATGTGGTTTTCAGCACTGGTGCTTCACAAGAAGCTACTGATAAGAGGCATTGTAATATCCTGTGCTAGGATAGCACATAATAGTTTAGCTAGGAACTTGTAGGAAGGTTTGTTTTCCTGCTAGCAGTGCCAGGGACCACCCAGCTGTGCTCCTGACTCAGCTCAGGCGTGGATTACACAAACCAGTGAACTGGAGACCATCTCTGAAGATTTCATTTTTTGTGGTCTACCAAAACTGACTACAATTCAACAGCTACCTTTTGTACTCACAGAATTCAAAACATTTTCAAAAAGTACTTGAATGGGAGGAAATAAAAGGAAAGAAAGAGAGGGAAGCAGCAAGAGAGAGATATCAAAGAGTTGCAGAGAGAGAGAGAGTTATTAGCTAATCAATATATGTGCAGGACTACAGCTTTGTACCTAATGGTGTAAATCATAATTAGTACCCATAGGGCTAAGGAGCTACAGTTCACTGCTGAACAAGGCTGGTGTGCCCAAGGCTGGCAGGGCAAGGGAGAATATTCCTCAAGGGAGCAAAGTGCCCTCACAACTGCCCCTTGCCACATTCCAACGTGGCTGTCCCTCTGTCCTTGCTATCTCAAAGGACCTGGGACTTTGCAAAACTACTTCCCTTGATCTTCTCCTGTCTTTCTAATTTCTTTTGTGGGAGTTCTTTTTCAGAAGTCCTTTCTCTGTCTTCCCTTGCCTCTCTGCTATTTTTCTGCTATATTCCTCTTGCCTTTATCTCTTTTGGAAGCAAAATGATTCTCTCCTCCTCATGAACCCTGTTTTATTTATTTAAGATTATTTAAACTATGTCAATCTAAAGTGTCTCCAGCAATTAATTTTTCTTTTAATAAATATCCTTGAATATGTTTATTAAGGGCTGCAGTTGGAATCAAAGATAACAAATGATACTTCACAGCAACAATATGTTCATATCATTTTATAATTTTAGCAGTGTTTACCACTTACATCAGAGGATCCTTTGAACAGTTTTCACTGCCTAGATACATAATTTTCCCCAAACAACCTGTTTTTCACATTATTTAAATATTGCACATATTTACATAAGCACATGTATGTCTTGTCAAAAGCCTGTAATTTTCAGATAACTTTGGTGACAGAAATTGCTTACCTGAAAGAAATCACCTGAGCTGACCTAAAGTAACGTCCTAAAGCTGGAGATGAACTGTAGACTTCTGTTAGCTGAGAGAGAAAAAAAATTATTTCTTCAATCTCTTTTTTCTCCTCACAAAAAAGAACCAAAACCACAGCAAATTATTCTTATAAAGTACTTTAAGGAGCATAAAAACAAGGGCTGAAGGTCAAACAACAGCAAATATCTGCTCTGGAAAAGGCAGAGAGTCATTTAAATTTGGGAGACAAATTAATTGTGCATTTGAGTGATTGCTATGTAACCTTAACACAATGGAGGCACTCAGGGTGAACTAAAAGTATGTGCTCATGTTGCCATGTGCAACTGATGTTGTAAGGTTTGGGATTTAATTACTACCAAGAGGCTCTTCTAACTCTTATTTCATGGAGGGGATGGTCTGTGTCCTGAGACTGCCTTCCCACCATATCCAAATGATCACTGCCAGGTGTGCTGAGCTTATTTCAGCTGTAACTCAGAGTTGTGCTGGCTCAGCAGACATCACAGCTATAAACCCAGGCTGTGATCATACACTCATTAAGAGAATGCAGCACTAAGGATGTTTAGTCCATATTATGCTCAGATGATTTTCACAGGCCTCTCCTAAACTATTCAATAATTCTATGAAAAAGGTGAAGACTGTCTTAACAAATGGTCAAGTTTAAGAGGAAAAAAAAAATCAACACTTTTTTGTGCTTAAAAGAAAACAATTCCTTTTTTTCTAGATTGTGACTTTAAAAAGTACAACACGTTTTATTTATGGACTTGCAAATGACTGAGTTGTTACACAGAAACTGAGAAACAGAAACTTCTTAGAAGGAAAAACACTGAAACAATGTTCTAAGTAGACTCAACTTTGCCAAGAATCATATAAACACTTACCCTCTCAGTAATGTCCTCAGAGGAGAAGTGTGGGAGACCACACATTAACTCCAATGTTCCTGAAAAATTGTGAAAGTTTCCACTGCTTAGTAGTTCATCAGGATCCCAGTAGTCATCCTCATCTGTGTAAACATCTAATAATTAACAGGAGATAGAAAGGGGAGAAAAAAGTTTCAGTTAGCTGAAGTAGTGCAAAAAGCCCCTCTTGGCTTTCTCCGGGGTTGTTTTCTCACAAATTTCCTAGGTAAGGACTGACTGGGAAAGACAGAAAGAAACTGCAAGTCACCTAAAAAATGTGACAGCATGTGGAGATCAATCACCCACCTCCATCAGCAAAAGTCATCTGCTCTGGGAGCCTGGCAGGCAGTGACACCACGGGACCCAAGTCATCCATTACATGGATGGCATTGTTAATTAATGGCCCTTGTTCCATTACAAACATTATTTCCATCCTCATATCTAAATCTCTTCTTGTGGTATTTTCTCACTTAGCTACAAACTTGAATTGCCACCTGATCAGGACACAAATTGATTGCTGCCTGCTAAGACAAAAGCATTCACAACAACTACCGAGCTACAACACCACCCTCTGCAGTCCATATCCCAGTTCCTTCAGCAGTTTATTGAAAGAGATTAGAGGATGTTACTGTTGCATTTGTGTTCTGTTAGAGATGTTACATATTGCATATTTGAAGTGGTGTAACCAAGAGTGAGATACTTACTAGAATAAAGAATTAGGCTGATGAGAATCACCAGGAAGATCACTAGAAATATTGTAGTTATAACCATCCATAGTTTACACTTCCAGAAAACTACATCCCTGCATGATTTCCAGGGATCTCTCTCCTAGATATAAAAGAGAAGGACATATTGATTAATCAAATCAGGCAGGAAAAAAAAAAATTAAGCATGTCTCTGCTTTGAAACAAAACCCCCCACATAGATGGGAGAGCCTCACTGGTAAACAATGCCCTACCTCAGGGGTTCCCAGACTTGACTACTGCTGCAGGAGAAAATGCAGACCTAGAATTGGTAAAGGACATTCACTTGAGAGAGATCATTCCCCTTTGTGCAAAATTTCCAACTCCTGAATGGCCCATAAAGCTCAAGTATTGCAAAGGTGATTTCTTGGCTCCATTTTCTTTTTAACTACATTGATTAAATTTTCATATTCCACAAGCTCTCCTTTTAATGTTTTCCATCTCTCCCAACTAAAAAGGTGTCTCTGGAGGTATTTCCAAAATCATTCACCTCTGCAGCATTGATGATGTCAACCTGCATAGCTTCTGGTTGCCAGCACTCTAAGCAGAGGCAATGCTATTCAATAGATACTATTGTGATAAAACCTCCATAAAATAATTGAGACTTTTATAGCTGACTTACTTTTCCTTCAGAAGACTGGAAACTTGAAGGCTATTGAGTGTATTTAACAGACAGTTTAATGTAAATCTCACCTGTTCTATGAGGTCAAAAGAACACTTCACTCAAAGCAATTGTGCATGTATACACATTCATAGGGGAGAGAAAGGACAATACCTTGCCTGTTACTTAATTTTTAATAAGATTGAAAACCATGGCTGAAGTTAGTCGTTTAATAAGTTAATCCAGCAGGAAGAATATTAGGGGGGAAAAAGAATAAAAAAAATAAAAGCAAGCTTAGGTGACAGCAAAACAGATAACTTCATCTGTTTTGTTCTGCAGCCAGAAGAATCAGAAGACTGAAGCAATGGTTTGAATTCATAAGCAGACCATGCTGTCTTTTTAATTACTCTTCTCCCTCCCTCTCCATCTACCATAAAGGTAGTAGTAAACTCCATGTCCTTTTTGACATCAGTACCAGGAAAGGCAAAGCATATCCTGTGGGTTGTCTGGGCCACACACATGCAGATTGGCAGGAACCAGCTGCTGCTGGAGGCACTAATCCAAGTTTCCTTCCTTTACTTTTTGAACTTTCTAAGAACACAGAATAACAGAGGCTTTCACTGAATTTAACTGAATTGGGCAGCTGGCTAAAAGCTTTTGTGTGGGTGGCAGGGGAACAGGGAGAGAAAACACACATGGAGAAAGAGCTTACAGGAGAGATTCCTCCAGGAGCAGAGGCAAAAAAAGGGAAACACTCTCTGTAGACACCTCTACACACAGAACTTTGCTCTGCTGGAGAATGAAAGGCAAACACCCAGTATGGTTTTGTTTACAGCATGCTTTCAGCTGTGATCACATTTACTTTTTTTTAATTTGATTTTTCAAATATTTTAGAAGTATGAATTTCAATGTAATACTTAACACTACCATATTGTTTTGGATTTTAAAAACTTTTAAAAGCCAGTAATTACTGCCTAGAGTGAAACTATGAAATCAGCCATAGCCTCATCAGTTGACACAGGGAGCTGTCAAGCCCAAGTTCTGATTAAGCCACCACATGTTTAGACTTCCACAAAACACAATTCTTAATCACACATAGCAAACTGGCTTGATCCCAAGGAAACATTCAGCTCCACAATTAGTCCAACACCACCTGAACTTTGCCTGTAGCCGCAGCTGAGAAAGTCTCTCCTCAGTGAGCAGGGATTTGGGCAGGGATTTGGGCAGGGTTTCTGATTAACCTGAGCAGAAAGCAGAGTGCTGTAACTTTCCAGCAGTCTGCATGGGATGGAAAGCCAGTTGCTATCATCAGCATAAAGAGAGCTCAAATGAAAACGTGGTGCTGGAAAGGGGAAGGATAAACCCACGGGTGAAGTTTCTCAAGACAGTCAAGTAGTTCTAGCACAACCCTGCCTCTCCTCCCCTCTTTCCTGTTCCTCTTTGCACCTCTGGGAATGTGTCTGACCCCGCAGCGAGCCGATTCAGCTCACCAGAGCACAGGAGAGGTAGCTGACCCCGACAGAACACGACACAGGGGTTTTGCCTGGTCAGAGGGATGGATCAGCCCCAGGGTGAGCAGCACAGGGGAGAGGGAAGGGCCGGGTGGGGAGGATCCTGCAGACAGCTCCCAGCTGTGCCCAGAAAGGGAAACCTCTTCCTCCTCCACAAATATCCCTGCAGCAAGTAGTGCCATTCACTGGACAGCACTCACGTGTGAACACGTTGTTATTCCTCTGCCAGAATTAGTCTGTTCCGTAGCTTTAAACTAGGCACTAGGAGCTACCTCCCTTAGGATTCATGTGCTGATCTTAAACGAGGTTTCAGAGCACTTTATTAATACAGATTCATAATGGCTAGCAACTGAAAATTACTCAGGGACAAAGAGAATCCAGCATGCTCTGTTCAGGGACAACTTATTTTTGTTTGGCAGCACTGTTTCCTGGTTAATTCCTACTGAAGGAAAGCCTGGTTTTAAAACTTATTTCAGCTTTTCTCTTTTCTGGTTTTGAGCCCAATCCCACTGATAGATAGCACATTAAAAGAGAAAGCAAAAACCAGAGAACCAATGACAGTTTCAGTTCCTAAATTTAAGCTTAAAGTCCCACTCTCACATTAGAACACTTCTTTGATAAGGAAAAAAACCCCCACATTTAACAGGTTTTTAGCCTCTTTCCCTCAAACAACAAATTAAATCACCCCTACAAAACGTTCCTTCAAGTGTCATTCCTATTGCTGTGTAGTATTTCCCACACCAGAAGGATCAAATGAGCAAGTGAAACTCCTACCTTTCTCATTTGAGCATTTAGAGCCTTGTCATGATCAGTCTCACTTTCCTCCACATTATGTGCCCGTAATTCAATAATCTCATGCTCCTGAACAGAGCTCTGCCTTTTCATTGCTTCTGTCTCTGAAGAAGGGCCTCTGCGGGGTCCTCTGTCTCTGAAGTGAGCACGGAGCCAACTCATTTCCTTCTTGTTTCAGCTGCAGTTATGCTCAGTCATAGCTCTGACACGAGGCTGGAAACAGGGAGAGTGGGGATAGTTTTCAAAAGAGAGGTCCCAAAATACTGCTAAATTAGGGGAATTCCTTGGAAGAGCAAATAAAGTCGACTGCCCTAGCTGCAGAGACAGGGAAGGCGGAGGAAGTATCGATTTGCTTAGCCGTGAGAACTCTGGCTCTCAGCTATGCAATACTAGGTTTTCCAGTTTGCCTACCTTCCTGTACCAGCTCTTGACAAGCAAGTGACTAAACCTTCAGCAACGCTGCCATTTGCTGGGACAATTTTCAAAGGAACCCGAGTGTTTGCTCTGCTGCTGTCAGCCAAAGCAATAAAATGTTATTACTGTTATCCATGCAGCTAAACAGATGTGGTGCTGAACAGAACAAAGTGAGCAAAAGTTCATAGAGCATGTTGTTTGCTTAGGCTGGGACTCTGCCAACACTTGTAATTCTAGTCTCCCTCTATAGTCAATAAAGAAATGAACACTACTGACCTTTGTACTGGAAATTGCTCTCCCTCTAGCTATTATAATGCCTAAAATCATATCTGGTCTCAAAGAACCATTTACGTGCTTTAACATGTTATTCAACCTAAACCTGAGAAGCTGCTTTAAGATAAAAAAACCCCAAAGGACATAGCTAAAGAAAAGAGAAAGATGGCCTTCAATTTCAACCTGAGCTCTAGAGGACATCCTTTTATGAAACCGTGGTGATTTGGTCTGTGCCAGCTTCCCACAGGAACTCTCACGTGCATTTGGAATCACTCACAGCACCTCACTGTAGCCAGGGGCTGATTACAAACCCAGCCTCCCCAATATCCTTGATCCCTACCTCCTCTTATTTCTTTTGTTCACCCTCCATCCCCATGTTTCTCCTTCCTCCCCACAGGGCATCTCTCTCCCCTCTGAATCAAAAGGTCTGGGCAGACAGCTGGTAACCACATCCTTGCTCACTCTTTTGTCCCAGCACAGGGAGTATCATGCATTAAAAACCGAGCACAGCCTCTCTCCCCAGCCCCCTTCCCTCCTGCCTGGGTATCCACCCACAGCACCACTCTTTTTTCCTGACAACACCTCAATCTTTTCTTTGTGAGACTCACCTTGGTTCTGCTGCCTGAAGCACACCCAAGGTTTGCATTCCTGATGTCACCTCACACCCATCCAGGCAAAGGCACTCCATGTAAGTGAGCATGACTTGGGTTTATTCCACAAGTAAAAGGAAATACAAATTTGTATACCCCACACCTTCTGGTTCTGAGAATCCTTAAAGCTCTGGAAGACTGAAGGTGAAGCTGAGCAGTCATCAAGATGAGAACATGTATCTGGATCTACAAAGTCTTACTTAGGACATCTTACACTAGAAAAGACTATCTGGTTCTCACTTCTCCTGCTGGGTATCAGGTTCATTAATTTAATTTCCATTCACAGCAGACCTTCCTACTGGATTGACTGAAACCAAAACTGTTCCTCTGAGACAAAGAGTTAATGATTATACAGATCTCACCATGCAAAGGCCAAAGTCCTTATTTTATTTTACATATTTGTGAAGAAGCTCCTTAAAGTCTTTCTTTCATCTGGGGGATCTAACTTCCACACTTGGTGCATTTCTTCCATGTGAAATACTGACCCTTCTGGCAAGTTGCTGAGAAACTCAGAGAAAATGAGAAGTCAAGAAATGAGCCTAACTTTCTAGGCTAGGCTTTTATCTAAAACAGAATAGCAGGAAAGCTGTTTTCTTCCCTAGGCAGAATATTTCTGGTTTCAGCAAAAGGAAAATAAACTTGTGCCCCTAAATGTACTCTTTAGTAACAGGGGCACATTGAGCTCAGCTTTACAAAAACAGGAAAGTCCAAGGCACTTGAACTTTGTAAAGTGCCTTGACAAAAGCACTTTGTCAAGCTCTGATGAACCTGGGGTTTGGAGTTTCAAAGGCGCATCCAAACAAATAAAACACAGCCCCTTGCAGTTTTAGCATGTGTTTATTAAAAAGGAAGGTGTGAATAATTGAGTAGCCACTAGAGAAACAAAACTCCTAACATACAGGCTTTGAACATAGCTTATGCTGTAAGTTTGACACAAGCCAGGGCAAGATGCCTGACAGGATAAAGGAAAAAGGAAGGAAAAGCAATGTCAGGGTTAGAAGGAGGAATCTCACTGCATACAGATTACAGTGTTGGTTCTTTCCAGCATTTCCCCCACATGCTGCCAAGGTGGCTCTAACATGAAATAAAGATCTCACTTATGTACTGCACAGTAAGTGCTGTGTGGACAGTAATAAAAGGTGTTCAAACTGCCAGCTTCATTTTTAAAATATATATATTAAAGGTGAAAGCTAAACACTTCCAAATATTAAGCATAACTTAAAGATCATCTAAATGGTCTTAAGGCCATCTAAACAATTCTTTTATTAAGCTAAGTATTGATATTCTGAAGTCCCATCAACAGCTTTGGAAACCTTAAATTGGCTAGATTTGGAGTGATAAGCTCATCGAGAGATTAAAATTATAAAACCTAGATTTACTACCAGGGTTAAAGGAATGTGGCTGTCATTTCTTCTTTTACTTTCTTTGAGCTGAAGGATGCATCCAACCACATAATTCCATTTTCATTCTATGTCCATTTCAATTTAGCGTGGCCTTATGAGCACAGCCCAGAAAGATACACACAAAAAAAATAATTCCTGGGCCTGAAACTCTGCTTACTGTGGACCAAGGACAGCAGGAAAAACAATCCTAATCTACCAGGAACATGCTAAAAATTCACAATACATGCCAGAGCCAGAGCTGGCAAAATACATCTGTAATATATTGCAAACATTAAACTCTAAAGTTAGTTCATATTCTAAAGAGAATTTAAGAAAGCATTATAGTTTCCTTTTTTTTAATGAATCACAACTCATTAATTCCTTCCTTTTATTTAGACATCATCCCAAAGAACCTAAATTATGCTTTTCCAGTTCTTTAATGAAAATTTCTTGCATCCTAACATTTTTGAACTATATATCTGGTATTTTTAAGAAAACACAGAAGAGACCCCAAAAGTTACAGCCCAGAATGTAAAAGTCCTGCAGTTGCACATAACTAGAACAAATTAATCTCAGCTTTGTACACGATACATTATTTATATTTTTGAGAACATAAATAATTATTTATGTTTAGAATCCTGTAACATCCCTAAAGAATGGAATATATATAGGAATATATATATGGCATGTGGCCATTTTTAGCCAGATATGCATATGTGAAAACAAATATAGATAACAAGGGACGAGGAGGGAGAGGAGAAGGGTTACAAATGAGCTATGGCTGGACTTTTGTTACAGGTTTTAATCCATTTCATTTTGTTTTTAATGCAGTGCTGTTTCTGCAAATAGGTATAAGGAAGATGAATCCATAAGGAATCTGAAGTTCCTCTGAGGCTGGACAGTTATTGCTAGGTGAACCACAACTGATAGTTTCTTCATTAAAAAAGTGTATTCTTTCACAAAGGAACAGTCAATGGCATTTTCATGTTGTATCACCAAATTGACTACAGTAGGAAGCAGCTTTCACACAGAGGTGATCTGCATTTTCTCCTTGGCTCATCAGTTTGTGTTCCGACGGATCCAGTCATAAAGGGCTGTCACCCTGGTGTACACACCAGGACGATTGCGCCGGGCACACCCTTCACCCCAGCTCACAATGCCAGCAAGGTACCACCTATTGCCCTTCCCTGTGCAGGCCAAGGGACCTCCAGAATCTCCCTAAAATGAAGGAGTCCAGCCATTAGTGCACACACAGAGAGCACTGCAACAAAAAATAAATTATTTAAGAACAGTAAATACATGCCCCTCCTTTTCTCAAATGAAAACTTAGTATTAATTAAAACTTACTTCTGGATATAATGTATCCAACCAGATGTCATATTTATTCAATTATTTTAACTTATGGATGCAGCACACTTATCAATATAAAGCCAATGGCAAGAAGCTGTTTATAAAATTTCTCCTTGGTAATGTCATAGAATAACACCACAGCCCAAAAAGGGAGAGAAAAAGACATGGATGGAAATAGGGAATTCTACTACAATTTGAATATAAATTGTTCACAGGTTGAAGCAGATCTCTTTTACTGTGTGTTAAGTAGGAACAGAAAGATACCACACACCCCAAATAAAAAAAAAAAAAGCCAACAAACCAAAACAAACCCAAACCCAACAAACAAACCAGGCACAGTTAAGTATTATCAGCAGTTTTATAATCAAGACTGGATCTACAGTAGACTACTTTGAAGGGGAAGAAGAAGGAACAAAAATTAAGGAATGTGCAAATAAGAACTGGCTTCTCAAATGGAACATGCAAGTTTGCACAGCAATGTAGAAAAATAAAAATTCCCATTCAATTCAGCTCACAGGATCGAAATGCATTTGGGCTCATCAATGTTTTTTTGCCTCTCATTGCTTTAACCTTGTATGTCATCTGTGAACTGGTCTGTTCACAGAACTCTGGGCAACTACAATGCAGCTCCTCTCTGCAGCACTTCCTAATGCACACAAGGCAGTCAAGCAGCCTCCAAATTGACCCTGGGATTTGTTTGAGCCCCCAGCTGCAGCCAAAACACGTATGAGGTCAGGAGAAATCCACGTACTGATTAAAGAATAATAGCAGAAAGCTTTCGTCTCCCAACCAAACAAAATTATCTATTATGTTGGCACAAAATTATCTAGAGATAAGAGGCCAGAGTTCTTCCTCTCTCTCAGGCTGCTGTCTTACTAGAAATGTTGATAATCCAAGAGACTGATGTCAAAGTGACTTGACAAAGGCGGCTGCATAGTTCAGCCAATTACTCAGCCAGTTCTGAAGGACCAAAGAGGCTGTATGCCAGTGGGGAGAGGAATGAGGTCTTGGTTCCTAAGCAGAGGAACCAAGGCCAAAGAACATCCTAGAGTGCTAAGAAAACAGTCTGAAAGTGTAAATTTTTATTTCTGATGTATCAGATCCTCTGAAGATGGAAGGCATTTGGAAGCTTCACTTAACTTGTGCAATATATGCACCACATACATGTCCAGGAAGAAGTGAAACCAAACAGGATGCTCACATGTCTGAAAGCATAGTAAAGGGGGCTTAGGCTGCTGTGGGGGTTTCCTGAACTCCCAGTGTCATTCTTCTCTAACACTGTGCAGGAAACACATGCTATATGTTACATAATATATATATACACTAGTGACAGAAACGAAAAAAAAAAAAGCAAAAATGCTACCCAGACTAAGAACTTTAAGACAGAAAGGGCCAACATGCTAGAACTCAAACACAGCGTATTATGCTGGAAACTGGCCAGCTGAATACGTGATATACAGCTGAATTTGTTAAAAAAAAAATCTGAAAATTCAAGGGCATTTCTTAACCAGCACATTTTTTGGAGGAACATCTCCCCTACAAATTAACATATTTTAGCAAAACAATTCCAAGGTCACAGTTTGTCAGATAAACTCTACATAATGTAAATAAAAATACTAATTAATTTAATTAGTTCTTAGACGCTGCAAGAAAATTCTACAAATAGTCTATTGTGTAAAAGAGGTTTGACACATCATGAGCTACAATCTTGCAAAACTTACCCTATTGCATTAAAATAATAAAATTTATATATTACTCAAAAAATATACCGAATTGCCTCAGTCTATTAATCAGTAACAAATTTCTATCCCCTTTACATGGTAACTGGAATAAAAAACACGTTTGTAAAGTTGATACTCATTATCAGAAGTATGAGCACCAATGAAGTACACAAGTAGTGCACTAGGAGAAAGAAGGCAGAGTTAGGACAGGTGGTATGACCAAAAAGCAGTTTCTGATTGTGTGTGTAAACAAGCTGGGTTTCATAACTTACACTACTGTGATGTAGTCACAACTTGTAATTACACACATGAATGAATGTTTGATATTAAATAGCACCATTGCAACTGCAGTTCCAAAACCTAGCTTAGCTTTTCCTTCATATTTCTTTGCAACTGTAACAATATGTTACTCATCATACTTTTACGGTATTTTACCAATTCCATACCCAGATATTAAAAAAGATAAAAAGAAATTAATAAAAATAACATAATTCACCGATGGACCCTTTATCACAGATGATGCCTTTTATATTTTTGTTCTCTTGTATGAAATATAACTGTTGAAGATGAAAAAGAATTCTTCTCAACACATTTTACCCCTTGCCTTTGCAAAATGTTATTTCTCAAGAGTCACACATTATCTATGATGAATTTTCTTCCTTATTTTGGTGGCCTTTTGTTGCTATGTTTAATTAACCATAAACTCACACTCAAGACATCTCATTTAAAAAAACCAACAAAGAAAAAAACCCACCACACAAACAATCTAATACTCTGAGGAGCTTCCCAATGAAAGCAAACATTCCTTTGTAGTTTTCCTACCAGTTACAGATTACCTGGCATGCATCAACACCACCATTAAGATTCCCAGCACACAGCATACGTGAAGTAATAAGATCATCATAGAGCTTGTTGCAAACACTTTGGTTAATCATTCTCACTCGAGCTTCCTGCAGAGTTTTGGCAAGATGACCTAGAAAAAAATACAAATGGTATTGCAAAGGTGGCACAAATTTCTTATAGAGATATCAATTATCAGAACAAAGGAGGATTACTTCAAACTCAAATTCTACCCAGCTAATGACAGCAGAGTAATTCCCTTCCCTTCAAATGGTGCCTGCCCTAGTTTTTGAAAGCTGTTGTCCACACTATGCTATAGCCATAGAGATTCCAATGCACCACCTTTCCATTTCCCTAGACTTTATCCTTATGACCTTATTCTGCCAGAAAGTAATAAAAGTGCCATGCAAATTGTAAGATAAGACTGCACACAGGGTGACTAAATTTGAATGCTATTTCAAATTATGCCTGAAGCTTTTTGTTATTATTTACACCATGGTTGTGCTACAAACAACATCCAAGTCCTACGAAATGCAATTTCTATATTGTTTTCCATCTTCTCATTTCTAGGGAAGAAACTGATGAATAAAGCTGAGTGTGGAAAAACAAATAATTTTTAAAAAACCCAAAGAACAGTCTGTAACTTACAAATGATGGTAACATCTTAATTCTGTACTATGGTATTGACATAAGATGCCCTTGTGAGTTAAATATCCTGACACCTCTGATGTGCTGAGATACTGCCCAAGCCCAGGTTTCAAGCTGTTTAATGTTGAGACAGAGCAAGGATCCCACAGGCTCCCTTGCTGCCCCTCTCTAACTCAGGGGGCTTTTTTCCTGCCTCCCCATTGCAGCTAGCTGCTCCAAGCTACACAGAGGCAGAACTCCTCATGAGACATACTTTAAACTGCCTTTGGTTAAGACAGAGAAAATAAAAGATCCTCCACATTCTTTTGCAATTATTGCTGCTTACGGCTCCGTTGTCAATCATAAACAAATTATTTCACTGCAATAGTTGCAAGCTACTGATCTCTTTACCTGCAAGGTTCTATTCACCAGATAAAATGAGTCATGAGCATGAAAATGGGCACATTTTTGTAAATCTAGAATAATTTGCTTTTCAATGGTCTGTGGCACCTGAGTATGCATTTTGTCACTTATCACCTACCACACAAGCAATCATTCAGAATTCACAGACTGTAGCTAAAAAGATCTTTTCTGACTTTTTATAGACATACTAAGTAAGCTACATGGGTTGGGGGTTTTTTTTGCATACAAGCATAAATATTCCATTGTCAGAGTTTAAAACTAACAAACTTGCAAAAAGTATATCCAGGAAATGAACATACTATTTTCTTTTATGGCTCCCCAGCCAGTTACATAGCAGACAGTTCCATAAAGAAATACTCTAGAGGTGCTGGGTAAACAAATGGGCTGTACCAGCTCACTGAAGAGTACAGGTGTCTCCATTTCCAACAGGGCAATGTCATAGTCTGAGATAGCTTGGTCGTACTGTGGGTGGACAATAATCCTTATGATTGATCTCACAGCTACACGATTGCTCTTTTCATTAATAGTATGTGAGCCCATATATGCTCTCCATCCCATTGGAACGGAGTATCTGTAAAAAAAATGTTTTTAGAACGCCCCATTGGAAAGCAATGCAGTGTTAGTTTGTTCCATTTTAACTACTTTTCAGTGTTTGAGGACATTCATCAAAACCAAAGTGCATGGAGTAGAATATGACTTCAGAAGATAGATGCGTTCTAGTCTCTGTCTGCTAAAACATTAAGCAATGTTTTCACTTGCTATTATAAAAATAATTAATTTCCTGGAGCTATAAGACCGACTCCTTGCTATGCATCATGCTTTGGAACTCATAAAAGCACGTAACTAAACTCTATCTCCTCCTTACCACATGAAGGAGGTATGCATTTTCAATTTACACTACCTAAACCAGACATCACTGAGGTTTCACCCATTGATCAATAAATAGGACATGTCTTGGGATAAAAGGCTGTACTTCTACTCAGAAAACCCCCGCCTTTTGAAAAGAAGGAGAAAAATTTGCATTTACCCTAAATCTAACAGAACAGTGTTCTATCATGGAGGATTCACTGGCAATGGAAGCAACTTCAGCAAAGAATAACTGCAAATATTTAAGACTTTTGAAGCCAGCAGAAAACACTGAGTTTTAGTGTTTATGTAGTGAGGTCACGTCACCGAGTTATAATGTGGATCAACTTATCTAGACAAGGAATAAATTCTGCAAACTACTGAAAGCAGCTTTGTAAGGTTATTAAACTGCAAATGCTCTAGAACAGTATAATTTCTTCGTACCTCACAGAATGAGAATCCAGGAAGCAATGGGCAGCAGATACAAGCCACCTGTTGGAAATCACAGATGCACCACACACGTGGCCATGTGCCCCCATCTGTAAACTCGCTTGCCAAGGCCACTTCTCAGATCTCGCGTCTTCACCTCCAACAATTCTGGTTTTCTTAAGCTGGCGTCTTCCACAAGCTAACAAGAAATTATTTAATAAATTAGTAAAAAGCCCACTGGTTAATTCACTTTGCCATCCTTGACACAAACTTTTACCCTTAGGCCTTACTGTGCAATTGGTAAAAAGGTGAGTACTTGCCCGTTTTCACTCAATCAGGGCAGGTCAGATATAAAGCAATCATTGTCTATCTTCCTTTGTAGCTTTCCAAAGAGCTGAATAACTCAAAAAGAAATTAAGCACAATTTAAAAGTTCATTTGAATAATTCTTGTCTCTTTTTCCTACTTACAAACACAGCTCCTTGACTGCATTTCATTCAGCTCTAAAAAAGCAGAAAGACCTACCAGCTTATCCTAGAAGTGCATTGCTTGAAATAAGTCACCATAGATAGAATGGATGAGTTGATTTAAAAGAAACAGTGCAAAATTCAAGACAGACATTTGCAAAAAGTGTTACCAGGAAGTTATTTTCTTTTTTTAATTCATATTTGATTTAACCAATTCTTAATCCAATAATGCTTAATAATAACACAAATTGCTGACTTAGTTTCCCAAGTAGCTAACAAATTTTAAAATAAATGCTACCACACCACAATTCATTTCATCAGATCCATCTGTGCAGTCTCTTTTCCCATCACACTCAGGATTTGGTTTCAGCAAGCATTTTCCATTGAGGCATTTGTATGCATAAGGGGAGCAACTTTTGTAGGCTGAAATAAGAGAGAGAAGATAGTGTCACATGTTTGGAGTCACACTTTCAAATTATTAACAAAACCTTGCACATTCACAAGTTGTTCAAAGCCACACATTCTAGACTGCTCAAAGCAGTATTCTATACTGGTGTAAACTGGTCCCCCTATGGAAGGACTTTAATTAATGACCACACTAATTTCAGTTTCCATTGTCCCTGAGGAAAAAGAGGACCCTCCAACTGTCCACACTCCCATTTTACATAACTCTAAATTGAATAAGTGTGTCTTCTCAGTTCTGTTCATTTGCCTTCACCAGCACTACTGGCATTACAAATCATAAATCTTCACAGCATGTTTTCATTTTCAAGTGAAATTGAGAAAACTGTGGGAGAGTTTTATACCTCCCTCCAATAAATTTCTGACTAAGGACTATCACAGTTTACTATGTGAGAATCCTCATAGATCTCAGCAATTTGCTCCCATTATTATTATTCTTATTACCACTTGTTCACAAGGACCTCTAAACAGTGAGAGGTAGGTTTCTTCCAACAAGGATTTGCTCCTGGCTACCCCAAGATTGAAAGCAAGACAAAAATTGTATAAGCAAAATGCAGCAAATCACTGAGGAGCCACTGGTGGTACCAGCAATGTCCACAACTATTGTGGATCTACAGTAAAAAGATCATCAGTGTGGTGAAAGTCTGCAGCCTACTATGTCTCCCTTAAATTATGTGGTTCTGATCTGGCAGCATTTGGGGGAAAAGTGCTCTTCCAACAGGATCACCAGCAAAATGTGGTTTGGTTTTCTTACTAAAATCCCCTTTATCTTGGATTTTTCTTCATTAATTGTCTAAACTCTCCTAATTTGTATTCACTATTATGAAACTTTTACTTAGTGCCATGAAAAAAAATAATCTAGAAACAACACATTTAACCATTAAAATATGCATGCTTCTGACTTCCACCATCTTTTGGAAAATAGTTAAAAATACATACTTACAGCAGTTGTTTTCATCACTGTCCTGCCTGCAGCTGTCATCATCTTTACAAGACTTATACTGAGGTTTACACTTCCCATCACCACAGTTCAATTGTTCTGGACTACAACCTGAAGAAAATAAGAGTCTGTAAATTTCTAATACAAACAGCAGACCAACAGCCACATGCTACACTCCCTGCCAGAGGTCACCTGGATGTTTCTGTGCCATTTCTGTCAGACATTTATCTACCTTGGTTTTGATAGCATCCAGTGACAGAGAGACTTCTGCTGTACTCTCTGGCCTTGGATTACCTTCTGCTCACTGTTTCTGGCATCTTTTGAATGCTCCCTATCTTCTTTGACATGCAATACCTAATTCAGGTACAATACTCTAGCTGAAGCCTTCCCACTGCTGATTGGGAAGGTATTTTCAAATTCCTGTCTTACATCCTAGTGTGACACTTAAAAAAACCCAGAACAAAGACAACCAACACAACAGCAAATACAAGCAAAACTCACAAAGTGTTTTGTGACTTTGACTCACAAGTCATCTCTTGAGCAATAATCATCCCCCCCCCGACATTTTTTAGCAAAAAAAGCAACTTAGGCAATCCACATGTCTGTTTAATTATCTACATTCTTCACAGAATCAGAGAGTATTCTGAGTTGGAAGGGACTCAAAAGGACCAACTTCATGTCCAACTCCTGGCTCTGCACAGCACCATCCCCAAGAGTCAAACCCTGTGCCTGAGAGACCATCCAAACACTTCTTGAGCTCTGGCAGCCTTGGAGCTGTGACCAGTGCCCTGGAAAAAGTCTGTTCCAGTGACCAATCATCTTCTGGGTGAAGAACCTTTTCCTAATATCCAACCTAATCTTCCTCTGACACTTTAGACCATTCTCTTGGGAGTGTCACTGGTCACCAGAGAGCAGAGATCAGTGCCTACCCCTCCTCTTCTCCTCACAAGGAAGCTGTAACTGCAATGAGGTCTCCCCTCAGTCTCCTCCAGGCTGAACAGACCAAGTGGCCTCAGCTGCTCCTCATACAGCTTCCCCTCAAGGCCTTTTGCCATCTTTGTTACCCCACTTTGGATACTTTCTAATAGATTACTATTTTTTATATTGTGGTGCCCAAAACTTCCCCCAGCACTCAAGGTGAGGCTGCCCCAGTGCAGGACAATCCCCTCCCTTGCCTGGCTGGGGATGCTGTGCCTGATGCCCCCCCAGGACATGGATGTCCCTCCTGGCTGCCAGGGCACCACTGACTCGTATTCTTGTCTTTATTTTTCTCCATATATATTCTACAGCTTCTCAGCACCACTTACAACACTTACAGCAATCCCTCTAAAACACTTCCACCTTTCTATTGTATGATGCTTTTTCTATTTCATAAGCATCTACTCTAATCCATAATTTAGATCATGAACAAAAATTATGTGACATTCCATAACAACATTTGCAGAATGACATTAAAAATATCCTTCTTTGGTAATAAGCCTTGACCAATTGTTCTGTGGAAAGAATTTCCTGTATTTTTTTTTTCTCCCCACATTTTCTTTACTTACTGATGAGCTTGTCACACAAGACAGTGTTAAAGTACAACTTATCTATTTATCCTCTCACAGCAGGGAACTAAACCAAAATTTTAAATCTTCATGCTGGTTTTAATATTCTTTCCATTAGTTACAAATAGTTTACTTTCCTTTGGCTACTTCTTGTGCATTTTTTATTCCTTTGGAAGGTTAGCTTATAAAGATTGGTGTAAAATTCCCTCTTGATTTTTCTCCCACTCTTTAAAGAGATACATTACACAGCCTCTTTTCCACAATTTTACATCTTCACCCACAGGCTTCATGTGATCTTAAAGGTTGCCAGCAGTATTTTAGAGATAATTTCAGCCCATCTCTCAACTTTGTGGAAGAAACTCTTTACAGAAAACAAGTGATGAGAAATAATTGTTCTACCCCAATCCAATTCATCACTACCATCTGGGCAGCTTTTCCAGCATTCACACTGATTTCTTGAAGGAATGTACATTTTGTCTGCATATCTAAGGACAAGCTAGAAAAATAAGAAATCAATGACACTAGAAATATTGATATAGTCTTAATGCAGTAATGCAGGACTCTACTATGAAAAAAATATTAAATATTAAAATTACTACTAAAAATTAAAGTTTGTGTAATTTGTAACACAAATTGAAAGAAAAAAGAAATAATATCTTACGTGGCACAATCTGTCAGAGATTTTTATCAAGCAGTCTGTATTAAATAAGTCACCTAAATAGACTTAGCAGATTAAATTCACATTAATTGCCTCTACTCTAAGGGCTGGAAGTCATTCATCACAGATACATAATTACTGATAGGAAGCATTTCTTTAATTTGTTAAGGGAATGTATTTAATACAGGAGCATCTAAGGAGAAGGAAAATAAAATCAAAACTAGGCATTCTCATTAGTATTACAAATATGTATTTCCTGGTATTAAAATTCTGTATAAATTAATCTCTGTGTTACTACACTAAATGTCTGGTGTGAAAAAGTACTTTATCAAACCCTTCCCAAAACTTGCAGTCTTGTTATGAAACAGCCCTTGACCAAGAATTTCCTTCACTTCATGTAAACTAACTACCAGTATAGATGCTAAGTTATTTCTTTCCAGTATATAAAAAATGTTTGTTCTCTTTCACTCTTTCAGATGTGCAAGGAAAAAAAGTCTCTGAAAGACTAAGTAGCTCAACCCACTCCTCTTCCTGCCCAAGTGAAGTCAAATGAAACTTACTGCCATTTAGCACTATGGGCAAATTAAGAGCTACATCAATCAGACTGAAGTACCAAATCCATTTGTCCCACAGTTGTCTAATCAGTTCCAACCTGGAGTAAATTAGTCCCCTTCATTTCCTTGCATGTGATGTGAGTGGGAGGAAAGCATACACTACACCCAGCCAGCATGAGCTCAAAGCAGGAGTGTCTCCATTTTCTTGTCACCTCTCCAGGCCTGAAGTTGTCCAGATGATGGCTGGCATTTGCTTTCCAGGACAGCTCAGAGCAGTGCCTGTGATTTTTAATAACTGTGCTTTGATAGGCACTCTACAATGAGGAAAAACTAACCTCAGGTGGGTGACTGCAAGTACTAAAGATGTGGGAAAACACAAATTTATTTTTTTTCCTTCTCCTATTACTACTGCTACAGGCAAGGCTGATATAGGCCAGTGCTCTCAATCCATGCTGATATCTCAGACAGCCTTCCCCAAACTACTGCATCAACTTGGTACTGACACATCACAGCTATTCCACTCCTCCTGATGAGTCTTTATACAGAGTCTCCTGACTGTGACTAAGAATTGATTAAATAACTTTGAGCCATCTGCTTGCTGGCTCAATGCTAGAAGCAGAGCACACAGATACACACAATAAAGATGGGATTTTCTCCATTAAAAAATGTGCTCTTAGGCTTAGATTCCTAACCATTTTTGAGGCAGCAACCAGAGTAACCACAGAACTAAGAATAGTTGGTAACTTTTTCTAGTAGAAAGAGACCCACATTGGTGGAAGAAGAAATCCCTGAAAATTTGTGAGTCTTACAGAATGACTGACCACAAAATGTGGCACTTATTTAGAGTGAAGGCATGAAACAAAAATCTTTACTGGAAACCTTACTACTTAAATGCTTCTATGTCAACAATGAACAAAACTACATTCTGACAAGCAAGCTGAGGATTTGAAGAGGCTTCTCAAAATGAAGCAAAATTATTTTCTCTTGAAATCATAGAGAGCTTTATCTACCGAGACATTAATTGGGTAAAATAAACTCCAGGAATTAAAAAAAATCTGAAATTGTATCTTTTCTAAAAAGTGTCACAAGTAAATATGTGTATCTCCTGAAAATTCCTGTTCCATCATCTGGAAGCCCCCCCAAATCTAACATTGCTCCAGAAGTACATAGACTGGGGAGTTAGGAACAGCCCATAAAAAACCCAGAGGTATTTCTGCAACATGTTCTAGCAAGGGGTCCTCTTTGCCAGTAAAACTTAAAATAGTTTGTCTAAACCTGAAAACTGATCTAGAGCACCTTGAGTTGTGATTTTAAAGAGAAGATTAAGTATTCATGGTTATTTTTTGTTGGCAAAAGAGTCATGCTTAGAGGCCCTCTGCCATTCTATTTTCATGTTGCAGCTTGGCTATTTTAAGGTGTCAACAAAGTGCCATATAAATAGATCTACAGAAATTGAGAAATTTTACTTTTACTCCCTATTTTACAGAAATGTTGATAAAAGTTAGAAAATAAGTGCTAGCTCCTAAATGCATCTTATATCTAAATTTGTACCTCTGTTTGGTCAACTAAAGACATAACATTTTATACATTTGTCTCCTGCAATAAGGTTAAGAAAATAGGCAGGTTGAGTTGTACACAATTGGTCTGTCAAGCAGGGTTTCTCAAAGGTTTCTCCTTAAAAATTAAAGCGTGTGTTTAATAACTTACGGTCTGTGTGCCTGAAAGCTTTGTATTCAATATAAAACCCTCTGTGGGTGACCAGCTCATCAGAGTGGAAGTTGATTTCAACAGAATATCCATATTCTCTGTTTCTGTTGTTTTCTGAAAGAGCTTTACAGTATCTAGCAAGGCAAAAGTGAGAAATATTAATTTCTAACCAAACTGACTACTACCATCCAGCTATATCTCCTTTTACTGAGTGGTGGTGATGTCAGAAAGTTTTAAGACAATGCAGTAAGGATCAGCTGTATTTTGGTGTTAAAAATTGTCCAATTAAAGTTTTAGAAAGCCTATTTAAGAATTTCTCCCACTCTGCAACTTTTTTGGGATTAGCAGACTTTGAAACAAGATATAGCGAGATGATCAGTGTCAGGGTTTACCTTATAAACACAAACTACTTCAAGCATGCTTGATTTCAGATTGCCCATTTAGGTTTGCAAACCCAAAAGCTCTACATCCAGGAAAGGATTAAATCATCCAGCCAAACCCAACAGCTGTTGTTTGTTTCAATATGCTCCTTCCAAGAGACAAATTTCTCTGAATAGCTTTATTTTTAGTGCTTGTGTAACAATTACAATCCCTGAAGAGCAAGTGGTAAAGAAAATTAAACTTCTGATTGCACAAACTCTTCAACCACATAAAGACCACAGCCAGGAATTTACAGCTCAGCTGCAGCTGCATAAAATCCTGTAATTTTCTACATTATTGCTCTAAGGGGAACAAAATAAAAAGTAAATATCTGTAAGAAAAAAAACCAGGATGCCTGAATGTGCAGAACTCAAAGTGCAAATCTGTATGTCAAAAAATAATGTATTTACTCACCTAACTCCATCAATTTCTAACCAGTCTTTATCACATTTATTGGACCCTGGAGACTTCTCTTGAATTTGTATTACAAGGATTTTTATTGAGAGTTTGTAGTCAGGCAATGGTGCCTAAAAATCAAAAGAAAACCCCTGACACACATTCACAAAATGATAACAGCCTTTTTTCCCAAGGTGTTCTACCTATTGCAGGACTGGAAGTACTGCACTTCTACTATTGAAATTAGCACCTCTGAAGAACCAAAAACCTTTGCTAATTTAAACATCTATAGAAATCTTTTTAGACCATCTTTGGTGAGACTGTCCCTGATGAAGTGTAAGCCTTTCTGCAGCCAGCATAAAGCACTATACCTGAGGTTCACACTAGGCTTGTAATGCCATGTGTTCCTGTCCTGCACAGAGGTCAGAGGTTTTTGCCACAAGCTGCTAATAATACCATGAGAGGCAGAGACTTGTCAAGTCATATACATGAAAAGGCTCCTTTACCAGGGAGACTGAAAATGTAGTTAAATGCCGAATGGAACAATAGACCAACACCTTAGGCAGTTGGTAGAAATCATGGCCAGATTTTGAGTCTTGCCAAAGAACTTGCTGGAAATTCAGGGGTGAATTTCTGAGCCAGAGAAGGTCCTGGCCCTGCAGAATTCAGGGAAATACAATGTGGTATCCATCATGTGAGGCATGATTTACATGATCATTTTTTTCTTTTTAACATAGAAGAAAAGCTCTGATTATTATTAATTTTCTCTGGCTGCTGGGAATTGTCATCTTACACATTAATTTGTTTCTGTCACAAATAATACTCAAACTTCTGGAAGTTTGCAATATTTCCCTCCCATAGTTGGCACCTGTACCTAGAACAGGAAAGAAATGTGTGCCAGAGAAGAAGTCAGGTTCAGTGGGCTCACTAGGCTTTCTCTCTGTTTCACCCACAACAAAAGCCATTTCTCCCAATTTTGAGTCCACATAAGATAAAGAGAAGTAATCAGTACTGAGAAGAGCTCCCAGTGTTTACCTTGATGATCCAGGTGCAGTCAATGTTTGGTGGGTAGTAACTTGGGTAATAAGGGGAACTTAGTGTCCCATTCCAGGAAGTATAATGACCACCACATACTAGGAGAGAAAAACATCAGCAAAGAACACAATTATCTCAGCTGGACCAAAGTGCAGAGTCTACTTCACTTGCTAGGACCCTTCTCTAACTACAGTTGGAAGAATACATTGTGACAGTATTAAACTAATATTTTCCCTGTATTAACTGAAAATCACTTAACTTCTACCTCCACATAACACTGAATTTCTCTTATTTTTGGATCAAATTACAACTACAGGTAAATACAAAAAACTTCTGACTGAAGCTTTTCCTTTTTAAAAAAACATTCTTTCATGGTAAGTGAAAGAAGCAACTGGATGTGGACACAACAAACCTCCCCCTTCCAATTTACTTCTGACTTTTATGTATGCATTTTCAAAATTAAAAAGCAATCCTCCCACTGAAGTTAAAACTAATTAATTTAATGTAAACAAGGAAGTTTTCAAAGTTCCCACTTTGAAAATTCTTGCCATATCTGAACAATTCCTTTGAGGTTTTATTTTCTACCAAAGACTCTCCTAGATATCCAGTCCTTAGTGCCTATGGTTCCCTTTAGGTAATATTATGAATACAAATATGATCATAACAGAAAATAAGGTAGTTTTGAAATTAAAAAAGCTTGTAAGCAAAACCTGGGCTAAATATAATTCAAAATGCCCATCCTCAAAACAATAAAGCCATTTTAATTAGTAATGTGCATGGGATAAATATTTGGATATGCAGCATGCAGAGAGACATAAGCTGAAATGTGGCATCTTTGTCCAAGTTTATCCCCTGTGACTTGTTCCAGATGTTAAAAAATAGTCACTTGCTTCATTGTCAAAACTCTTTCACTTATACCTTACCAAATAACTGTGGCTAAACTTGATCCTGTGAAGCCTTTTTATCGCTTCTATAATTAGTACTACAGTTTAGCATTACTCAAAATATTTCACCACACAGCACCCATGTAAAATCCATAGTACCCCATAGGTTTGGAATGTATTTCTTAGGTCTGGAACACAATTTTCTTATTCAGTTAACTGCACTGAACAATGCTTTCAGAAAAAGAACAAAGATAAATTAGAAGCGTTTGCTCTTGTTTTCTGTTTTCTTTAAACACACATTCTACAATCTGTGGATACACTGCCAAAACTGATAAAAGTAGCTGCCCTGTCATGGGGGCTATCTAACTTTGCCTAGGCAGACAGTGCCTCTAGCTGGCTGGCTGCTCTGCTGGCACTGCTCAGTGTTACCCATGTAATGCCTGGCAAGTAAGGCTTGAGTAGTTATCAGGAAGACAAAGTCTCTCAGACCAAAGGATGTTCTCTCTTCTTTGTTCAGTTCTCAGTCTTTTGTAAAGTGGATCAGAATGGTAACTCCCTGCTTTATATGTCAACATTCCCTCCTCCAGATATGTTCAAGGCAATATCAACTTTTTTAGAAGCAGAAACAGTAATCAGTGTGTGCTTTCATTAGATGCTTGTTCCTATTAACTACATACTGATTTTAGGAATGGCTTGAAAGTGAGCTTTTAATATGTTTCTTTCTCCTCTTCGGTCCAGTGAGAAGGTAAGCAACATTACATTACTTGATGAAGTTAAACGCACAACAGAAGGAGTCCAGGCCCCAGGCCCACACCATCTGGAAGGTTACCAAAAAAATGCATTAAAAAATGTAATCCCCCAAACATTTCCCACATTCCTGTCATCTTTGCTGGGAAACTGGGCAGAAGTAACACTGATCTGGGCATCTGTGTTTCAGTAGCATTCCCTTGGCTATCACTTCCCTTTAATTCTTCCACCCAGCTGATAGTGCATGGGATGCTAGGAGTTCCCAGTCTAGAGGCTTAGTCACTCTGTGTGTACATCACAGTTTTCTTGCTTAACAAGTGCCCTGGAGTTCTCATACCTATAGAAGCATCAGATTACCTACAGAATGTTACTTCAGTAGTGATAGTGGCACTGAGAAGCAAAGGTTAGGAATGAAAAGGCAACAAGTGCCAGTGCAGCAGTGTTGAGCAGCATCTATGCAACAGATAAAACCAAAACATTCCCAATATATCCATGTTCAATCTGGTTTTGTGTCACAAAAGCTATCACACAAAATGTGAAGTCCCATGCTTGGCAGCTATTGCTTCCTATTGTTCTTTTACTTGTAATGTGAGATGCTATTTCTTGCATCTGTAAATTCACTCTTACGCTTATTCCATTTTGCAACCCACATAATATTTTTGACTTTTTTTCATTTATTTATAATTTGATGATCCTTGTGGGTCACTTCCCACTCAGAATATTCTGTGATATTTGTGAATCTATGTGTTAAAAGTTTCTAACAGGTTTCTCTTTTTCTATGCACAGCAAATGAAAGCAATTAAGATTAGACCTCACAGTAACAGAGTATTTCAATCACAGCCCAGCAGTAAGTTCTCTGATGTCACTGAGATCCAAATTGGAAGCATTAAAGTAAAAATTTTTAACCTTAAACAGAAAGTAATTGTCTTCTGCTTTAGCAGGCTATTCCTTTCACACATTTGAAGTGAGACACTAGTGAATGAATCTCTGCTTTGCCTCTCCAGCAGACATTATTAAATCCTTTTTATCATAATAGCTGACAAAACATTTATAAAATAACAACTTAAGTTCTCTCCACATTGCCATGTAGAAATATTTCAGCATCTTCATCAACCCAGTTGACAGCCTGGCTTATCTTCTATCTGTACTTTCTGTCATAGTATCATCAGAACAGCAAGGCAAGCTATGAGAAGAGGAATCCACATGAGATGCTTAATCTCACGTGTCTTACACCTCACATCATCTCAGCTTGAACATGTTTTAGGATTTGTCACTGAACAGATGTATTACTGCAGTTTACAGAAACTGGTGAGAACCAGCTCAGTCACCATGTGAGACCCTAGACCTAAACATCAGGGAATAATGGCTACTATAGTTACTGGCTGTCATGGATATTGGACATACTGTTGTTATTATTAGTTCTACTGTATGTGTCTTAAGTATGCCATTAGGCTGCTTTTTACCCAAGCAGGAAACTAATAGACATATGCAAAACAACACATTTTCTAGAGTGGCAATAAAAGCAACCAAAACAGTTGGTACCATGAGGCTTTTTACATAATTTGTCACCAAATTCTGTTTTGGTTCTTTAATAGACAGACAGCAATGCACATTCTTGAATTTTGTCTTACAGCTTCCTGCATCAATGTTCTCTGAATGCGTTACATCAGACACCTGTGTTGGTCTTGCTGTCTTCCAGGAGTTTTAATGCTCAGGGCCAGCTCTACATTTGTGATTCCTAAAAAGCTGAGCCAGAGGTAATAATGCACAATGGAGTAACAGTTGCAGCAATAATCCATAATAAGTAGCAGAACAGATGCAGGCCCACATCAGAAACAGGATTCTCCTCATTAAGCTACAGTTTGAGAGTAACTCGTTACAAAAACCTTGCATTTATTCCATGCCAACAATGGCAATCTGTTGTTGGTGTGGGGCACAGGGAGCAATTAGTACATTAATAGAGCTGAAGAGGACCACCTATTCAATTAAGTTAAAGCATTCCTAAATGAGTGCATTTCAGGTTCTTAGTTGAATCTTCATGCCTAGCTAACCTCTTCCTGAAAGTTCCTAAAATAAAAAAATTAAGTAAAGTTCCCTCTTGAAACCATCCATCTTCAGATGCTACAGCTTGTTTATTTATTTGGTTGGGGAAGACAGATTATTTGTGCTCATACATGAAATTTAAAAAGTAGGAGCAGTGTAGCCACTCAAATTTAAATATCATCTGAACTCACTTATGCAAATAGACTCCAGAGTGACTTTGAGGACAGAGCCCTCCAACCCTCCTGTTATAAACAGGACTTCAGCTGTGACTGGACTGCCATAAAACATACATTTTCTGAAAGTAATACAATAGAATACTCTAAAATAAAGTCTGAACATTTTTGAATTGTGAGAGTAATTTTATGAAAGGAACCCATTAAGAATTTGTCATAGTGTAGAATAAACCCCATAGAAATTTGCAACAGGTTCCCCAGAGAAGGGGGTCATGGCACCAAGCCTGTCAGAGTTCAAGGAACATCTGAACAATGCATTTAGTCAGATGGTTTGGTTTTAGGTAGTCCTCTGAGGAGCAGAGAGTTGGACTTGAAAACCCTTATCAGACCTTTTCAACTCTTTTAGAAGATCATTTTATTATGCTATCCAAGACTTAATTAAGTTGTATTTCAAATCTTACATTTCATCAATTTTTTTTCCATACAGCTCAGTAAAGCATCTTTGCTCTGTGTATCATACCTGGTAATGATCTTGTTCTGCAGTGGAAGAAGGAAATCATATGCTGACAAGTGGTGTGATGCACAGCTTTCTGGAGTAACACCACGCAGAGTGATAACTACCAGTCTCACCACATAGTTAGAAGGAACTCGCAGTCTCCATTGATAAAATGACTTTTTGGGATTCATCAGAGTTAGAGTCCTGTTGTTACCTGGCTTGGCATACAGGTCGAAGGATACTGCTACAAAAAAGAATGTAGATCAGTATGGAAAAACTTAGTTTGAAAGATAAGTTCTTGGGAAAGGTTTCAGACAAGGTAGAAGTGATCACCTACCCACATTTCTTGACTACTCTATTCCCTTTTTACTCTTATGTTTACAGCTCTGTTCCCTTTTCCCTATCAGACTGCATCACCTTCTCCTGCTCTGGCCAAGGACGTACAAAGCCTCACCATCACCAGCTCTGCACATTCCATGAGTAGGAACTGATTCAGCTGCAACTGCTACATTATCTGTGTCACACCTGTTGCTTCCTTTGCCATTTTCTCTTCTTCCCTCTCTGTGCAGTGACAACACTAAGTACATGAAGACAAATCTCAATATATGCTTGGAATGAAGAAATCAGGCAAAGTGAATTAAAGCTCTACATTATCTGTCTGATCACTAACAACATATAACCAAAATTGTGTAATCACCAGCCAAATCATGTACAATTTTTTAGAGGTTTTGTTGGTTTGTTTTGGTTTTTGTTTTGTTTTGTTGGGGTTTTTTTTAGTTGGTTGGTTGGGTTTTTTTTGGTTTTTTTTGGTGTTTTTTTCAGGGGTAGGGGTTGTGTTTTTAGAGATTGCAAAAATAGGAGCCACAGCTCACTGCAATTCAGTGGGAACTATTAAATTTCAACCATTCTAGTTGGAACATCAGAATAAAAGCTGTAAGGTATTTTCATCCAGCCTTCATTTGAAACACAACACATGGAGATTCCATAGTCTAGTTTAGTTCATAAGCCCTACAGATATAAGAATAACTGGAAAAATGCCATTTTTCTATCACAGGATTCCACTCCCCCCCAAAGTGGTATCACTTGGGATTGAAACATAATTACCTGATTTTAGCATCACATCATATTCTATGGAATCTGAAACTGAAATGTAATAATTATCAGCTACACAAGCCAAAGACACAAAGTGGAGAAAGAAAAATAGACAGAATAGGTATTAAATGACAGGTACATTGTTACCAAAAAGCTCCATTGTATCAAGATCAAAATCCTCCTCCCCAGAACTGAACAAGGGAGCTGCTTGTTTACTACAGATTTCTTTTTGCTCCACTGGGGTTAATTTTTTAAGAGAAGCAACCATATCTTGTGGTGCCCAGAATGTATTCCAGAAATAAGCTCGAAGCCCAGATTCTCCTTCACTGTGAAAGGAAAAAAAAATCATCATAAATGCTTTTTTGGACATGGCTTTTACTGGTCTGCATTTTTGGCCAGCACAGTTTCATAGCCACCTGAATTTCTGTGCCCAATAATTGCTGCTAAACATGGTGACAAAAAACTCTCTTGTTTAACAATTATTTTTGCTATCCAGTAGAAATATTTTTGACATATGCAGCTTAACCAGCTACACACTGAGACTGAAAAATCACACCTTGAAATCCTACAATAGTTTTTATGAAATTGGATGTTATCTTCCCTGCTGTATAATTATACACTTTTAAGATCATATAACAACTCCAGACACATTAATATTTTTAATGGAAGCTAGCACCATAAAACAACACAATTTTATGTCTGTACTTTGATGCAGCATTTTGCACCATTTTTGTTGAAATAAAGAAACCTTGAGCATATGCATACAAATTATTTCTTCAGTGATTCCACCACAATCCTTTTGAAAATGCCTGTGCACTGAACCTTCAGGGTTTTCAGAAAATACCAGGTTTGTAATAACCAGCTGTTCAATGGATTTACATTTCTTACCAGGAACTCAAATAGTGTTTTGCCCCAAGTTACACATTTAAGGATTTGTTTTCAGAGGTTAAAAAAGAACTTCATTTGAATGGACAAAACTGAAATAAGATCATGCAAGTGCTGTATTGTTATTTCAAAAATTAAAAGTAGATTAATAGACAACAAAACAACTCATAGACTCAGGAACAATTAATCAGATTTCATTTATCTCACCAATTCTACAGGGCAGGACAGAAGTCATACTGTTAGCTTAGCTCATATACTTAAATGCATTTCTGTGTTTTTAATTCTCTTACAGAGATGTGCATGTTCTTCTAGATAGCTTGTTTTAAATGCATTAAAAAACAGAGAAAAACACAGCTGGATATTTCAAATTTCTACCATATGCTAGAACAGCACCTACCTGAAAGTAGCCACTACAGACTTCAAGTAGTACTTTCCCAAGAAGGAAGATTCGTATGTTTCTGCCAACTGACAATGAAATAGTGGTAAAAGAAAAATGTGACATTATATTATAGTGCAAATATAATCTCTAATACTATAAAGTGCTTGTCTTTTTCATTCTTTCTTCTTCCTCACTGCCTTCCCCCACATTACAAGCACTGTCCATAATTTTCACAAAATGTATCAAATAAGGATCATAAATGTGCAATAAATTCCACTAAAAAAATTGCTTTTTCACACCATATTTCAAGACCACTGAGACAGTTCTTGATACTTAGTCACAAAAAAGTTTTTATGAATACACTTATATTTTTGTTTCAGTCTTTAAACTTCCAGTATGATTGACTTGTATTGGCTGTGCACAAAGCAGCTTTGAGACACCAGATTAATTCTTTTGGGAAATACAGGCTAACAGAGAACAGCTTTGTCTTCAAAACTGCTGCCCACATGTACCTAGGAAACAGTATTTGATCTCACAAATAGAAACTCATAAGAAGGGCAAGAAAGCAAGCACTGTTGTGATGATAAGGAAGATTAAAAAAAGTGAAGCATTGAACTGGAGGTGAAATTAAAAAGAAAAAGAAAAATGTAGAAGGAAGATAGTTTGAATAAAGCAAAATAAAACAATCACTCTCCTATTTCCTTCAAGACAATTTGTCCATAACCCTGAAACCTTATTACCTAGAAAGTATTCACCTTACTCTAAGACACACAGCTCCATCTGTCTATCTGCATTTCTAAACTGAAAACTGCCAAGGCTCTTGCTAGCTTTAAACTTACTGTTTCCAAGGGGGGGGAAAAAAAAAAAAAGGCTAACCCAAGTCCTCTCCTCATCCCCAGCTGATTCTGTATAAATATTTACAAAATATTGCTCTACTTATGTGGAAACTTACATAATTTTGGACTGCTTTTGCTTGCAGGAGGAACTTCTGTGACGTTGGATCATTGAGGTCATTTGTATAAGTCAAATTAGGAATTTCTACACTTCCACTGATATATGTAAAGGAAAAAGCTGGAGCTGAGAAAAAAAAAAAAAAAAAAAAAAAAAGTTAGCACACCTAATAATGTTACAGAACAAGAGGCTTGCAGAAGTATGTGCTTGTCCTTGGCATTTGCAAGGAGAAACATGCAGTAAAGCTACAGCACTCAGCCAGTCCCACTGACAGAGTAAAGCCCAGCAGGAAAGGAAAATAAGGACATAAAGGTTTAGCTATGCATTTCTACTAGGAAAATTTCATTGTTAATCTTCCATTTTTTTTGTGGTGCTCTCATCTTGAAGAGGCACGGTTTTAATGGCTGTGTGTTGACATTTGGAAAAGTACATAAACAATTTAGGTATGCATTCTGTTTTTAAAAAAAGTGAAGAGAAAATAGACAAATAACTCCCATAGGTTCCTGCAAAAGATAACACCTAATATCAATAATGATGGTATTCATGAGCAGAAACAAAAAAATAATTAGAGATAAAATGCACACTTTCAATATTCTTGTGCAACTACTAACTGCTAATTACTGTGCATTTTGTTGCTTTAGCAAAGATGTTAAGGAGAAGGCAAAGTCAGCAGTTTATATACACACATTATGTGTATATAATGTGTGTATATATATACTAAGCAGCTCAGCTGCTTAGTGCAGAGCTTTTCACAGTGTGAAATATCCATCCCACCCAGACCACGCTGGGAGTAACACTTACAGAGTGAGTAGTGCAGGACTAGCAGGATTGCTGTAACTGTTAAAGAAACTGTAGGTAATATTCCTAGAAGACATCTCCTCCAGAAACACAACTTCATCCTTTTGAAGAAATTATACTTTTGGCACACACCTTCTTGGTAGGACGGGCAGTAGGAAACGCGTAGACTTTCCTACAGAAAGACCATGGATGGCATCAGTTAGTAAAAAAACAAAGGAAGAGCTATTGTATCACATTTTGGTGTATTTACTCTCTTAGTTTCAAAGAGATTAAAATTGAGATAAGAGCTTTCATGTTATCAGCTAGGGCACACATGAAACCTGCATCTCTCTGGGCTATTTCCTTGTATGCATCTGAGGCTGTGAAAGCAGGTGGGGGGAGGCAGGGATTGTATGTGGATTTTAATCACTGGTTAAGAGCAATTTATGAAGAACAGGGGTCAATGCACACAGGAGTGGATAGAGATAATTTATTTACTGTGTTCCTACTACAAAGCTTAGTTGGTAGCTCTTACCTGCCCTGAAGCCCGTTCAGCGTCCGGAGCTGGAATGCTGTACACAGAAATCCGGCTGGAGGGAAAAGCCTGCAGCATGATGCTGTGACAAATGCCTTCTGACAAACCTAGCAGCAACCCCCTAAATGAACCTTGTTACTTAAACATAACTCAGAATAGCTCAGAATAGCTGCTCTCCCCACCACACACACCGGGCTTCTCTTATTTCACCTTTGCTATACTGCTTGAAGCTGGAGCCAGCTGATCTGCAGTCAAAGAAGGTGGGCAGGAAAAGTTGCCATCTCTGTAACTCCTTGTTTTCCTGACTGGCTAAGTAGGATATGGATCCCATCATTTGAAAATAGAACACTTCTTTCAGAACTACAAGAGTTGGGAGATCATTTATGACACAACACAAAGGACATACAATCAATTTACAGACAAAAGGTCCCAGGGCAATATAAATGAGGCAACTTCTAATTAACTCCCTGGGGAATCCATAGAAATATCTGTAAGAGAGGAGAAATGCTCAGTTCCACATATGACCTTAGTTTTCCAGCTCCAAGATATTACCATAGAACAAATGTGGTAAATAAATTGGAAACCAATTTATGTTCACATTTCCTGTTTGAAAGAAAAAGCTGCTTTAAGCCAGCAAACCATCAAGTTCAGCATATTCTGCATGTAAAATAAGAAAAATCAAGGATGTGTGTGGAAAAATAACATATTTGATAAATGTTGAAAGAGAGAGAGAGCACAAAGAACAGAATCTAGAAAAGCAAAAGGGAATGAAGAAATCTCAGCCCCAGAAAAATAATACAAAAGGAACAAACAAATCCCAACAGTTCACACAGAGATTGCAAAAGGGATTAATTGGAAGGCAATCCTCACAGCTCAGAAATTCAAACTACAACTGCAGACAGATGGCTTTGTTCAAGTCCTCTCTTTTTCAACACCCTATCTGCTACACACACAGAACCTGCTGACTGACACTTTGCCCCTTCCTTCATGGAAAAGAGAAGTACCCACAGGAAAATGCCTAGAGGAAACAAATCCACTTTTGCATAAAACTTGTATCAGGACCTTTTAGAAACACCGGTTTTGTTTCAGCAAGGACAAGATCATTGCAATAAGACACATCACCATGTTTATTCATTTTGATAAGGTTGCCTGAAGCTCAAGAATTCAAATTCTTAGGTGGATGAGCCTGAAAACAAAGAAATGAAACCAGGAAATAAAAGAGTTAGTAGCTCCAAATCATGCAGTTAATTAAAATGAATGCAGGAGAAGGAAGAAACATACAACAAATCACCACTTATAGCAGCAGAATTTCTGATCTTCAAAAATTAGGGCCCTATGGATTTGAAAGGACTGAGTTCACTTTTTACAGTGCCTCCTCTCCCTTTCTCCCTGTCAGCTGTTCTTGGGTGGAAGAGGCAGGGAAAGTAGTATTTGGCACAGTGCAAACAGTTCATTGCTACTTCACAGTTACTTCTGTATTGGCTGCACACATCTCAGAAGAAATGATGAGTAAGAACCAAGCTCTCTGTTTACACAATCAATTGTATTTTCAGCTTCCTGACAGATGAGTGTACCTGCACCTAGCTGGTGCCTTGAAAATGAAGTTCATTATTGCACCTCCCCCCATGTCTCCAGATACCTGCTTGGAGCAACCACCACAAGAAACAGTCTCTTCCTTTTTCACCAAAGCTTGAAACAATGGTGTTTATTACCCCCATCTGTGAATTCCAGAATCAGCAAGAGACATGCAAAGAAATTCCACCACTGAACAGTTCTTCCAAATATGATTTTAATGAAGATATCCAGGACATGTTTTATTCCAAGAAAACAGTTTTCAAGTTACAAGTCTGAAGGCACATACTTGTGTATCCATTGTGCAAAATTTGACACTCTTGTGTAGACACCTGGGAAATTTGGTCTTCCACAGCCATAACCCCAGCTCACAATGCCAGTCAAAAACCATTTTCCATCTCCATTGCTTTGACATGACAGTGGTCCACCAGAATCACCCTAAAAATAATGTATCGAGTTATACGTGTTTACAATATGAATTATAAAAAGCGGGGAAAAATCCACAGGAGCTATTTTGCATAATTCCAGTGATTGGATTTTCATATTCATATAGTTCAAACAATTTATAGAGTTTTGCTTTTTTTTTCAAGTAGATGGCATTGCACAGTTTTACCAAAGTTTGCTCTTTCACAAGAGAGAAGGTAATTCTCATGCGTTAAAGACAGTAATAAAGATATTACTTTCTATGAACTATATTTGAAATATTTTGAAATATATTGGAAACATATTTTACAGCTAAACCCCAAATCTACTACTTAACATATATATACATTCACAGGTTCCACATTAAAACTCAAAACCAGTAAGCTTTATGAAAATACTTTAAAATAAAATAAATACAATAAATAAAGTATTTAATAATTGTATGATTCTTTCAGCTTAGAGGTAAACGGAAACAGAGTTCCTCTGTTGTTTTGTGTTTGAGGTTTTTCTTGTTTTTTTGTGGTTTTGGTTTTTTTTTAAGAAGGAAAAAGAGCCTAAGGATTGTCTTCTAGTAGATACTAGTCAGCATATAATGTTTAGGGGCCCATAATGTCTTTGTAATTTGAGCAGTTACAATTAAGTCTGTTCTAGCCTTCAAAATTAATACAGGATCTCATAATGCTGTAATACATGAGAAAGCAACTAGGATTCTTCCTTCAAAGGGTGTTCTTTTAGAAATACATTGGCACAGCATCAGGTATAAAACCATATTCCACCATTTGGGGAATTCCTTGGACCAAGCTTATACTTTTCTCTCTGTAAGGCTCTGTCATACACACATCATCTCTGAAAAAGACACCTAGTGGCAAATTCAACTTTACCATAATATTGGGTGCAAGGTACAACTTCTAAAAGCAAAAGGTGCATTTGGCAAAATTCAGGTATTTTGCAAGAGAAGTGCCTTCTTTTCTAGACAAATATTTGTTAGAGCTAGAAAACTATTCTGCATTCACTTTATAGATTGTTGGGATACAAAGGTTGGAAGGGACCTCTTCCAAGGTGCTTAGGTGCCACCCACTCCTCAAAGCAGGATTATCACAAACTGCCTCAAAAAAGGTGAAGAATTTAGAAGACTTTTTTTCCTTCCATGACAAGTAAGATTTTACATTTAGAGAGTAAAATTTGCAAGTATTTTCTTTCATTCCTAGGGCAAAACAAAAGTAGAACACCAGCACTTTTCACAAAACAGGAATAGCACTATTTGATTACTCTAACAACTTCCAGACAGACACAAATCATTTGCCTTTACAAAAATGAAGCCAAAAATTTATTTCCTTGGCTATATCTTGAGCTGTCTTAAACAAATTCTGCAGTTACTGAAAATGATACTTAATGGCCTCACTAACCTCTAAAAAATAGCTGGTTCATTATACTCCCTCAGCTATTATAGGCTCATTTTTGTGTAGATCAGTGAAAGCTAGAACATCTTGAAGATTCTCCATCATAAAAAAGTGGTTTTATTATTATTTCAGCCATAAATTTACTACTGTTTTAGCAATAAATATGTATGGTTTATCTAAGTTCAGTATAATATAATATGGCATATAAAATCTGTAATATTAAGTGTCATATATAGTGCATATCTCTGTGGTTTTACTACTATTCACTAGATGTAAATTCAGCAATTTACATTTATCATCTTTCAACTTTTCCAGATCAGAAATATCTTACATTTGCAAATTTATGCCTAATTGTCTGAATCTCATCATAAAGTCCTGTAGCTCCAAGTTGGAGGGGAGGAAAATTTTGAAAAGTCTGAAAAGACACAAGCATGTTTCTCAGTTTTTCTTCAGCTGAAAGCCTATTATGCCAAAAATTGCCTGATTTCAACTTGTTATTGAGACTTGCAATTTGACTCTTGATCTGCAACTGAAACTTAGTGGTGCTACTGATGCACATAAAGCAGCAGAACTCTGAAATCACCCACAGAAGAGATTTGCTGACAGACAATTCTTATATTGCTCTTTTTCAGAACTGAAACAGATTGACCACAAAGTGGTCTGCCAGTCAACTTTGCACCTCAACACGCAACAATGAAAGACAAGAGAAGCACTTTGCAAAGTTTGCTGAGATACATACTTTACACCCATCTCTTTTCCCAGATGATAGCCCAGCACAAAACATCCTAGCTGTGATAATCCCGTATGTGGAATGACATATTGTCTGGTCAATAATTTCTACCTCTGCTTTCTGAAGAACTACCGAACCTTCATCATCTGGAAAACAAATTCAGAGCAGGGTGATTCAACAGAGCTTAGCTCATTTTACTTATCTGTTGAAATACAAAACAAGAGGTCTTCAGAAAATATCCATAGATATTTTTGACCATCAAGTTATTCCAGATTCCAAACAATTAACTGTAACAGAGCAGAAAGCATCTTAGAACTATCAGGCAATCGTGTAACTTTATCTGGGTCCTTCAGACACACCAAATACAATGGAATACTCACTAGGATTGGCCAAAAAGATTTTTCTTTGTTTTATCCAAAATGTCTCAAGACTTCTTAATTTTCTCTCTTTTTATTTCAAAAAGGAAACAGAAATTTACAGAAAAGGAAACAGAATTTAGATCATCACATGACAGATTTGCAGTGAGGAAAGCATATCTGAAGAAGCCAAATTAAAGACTAAGATAATGAGTCAGAGTTTCAGAATGTGAATTCTGACAACATAAAGAACCAATTTCTAAATTTGTTTCTTTCTGTCTAAAAGATTTGGTGAAACACCTCATTTTTATAAGATATATACTTTAATAATACCAGAATTAACCCAAAGTTTCCCTTCCTTTCAATACAGCAGGCCCAATTTTATCACCAGGTGATCCTTTCAAAATCTGGTTATAGCCAAAAAGCCCTCACCCACATATTCAAATATGCAAGCACTAGTTTACATGAAACTTTGTTTTAGGATTTGATAAAGCCAGTATGTAATAAAGTTTACTTTTAAATTAAAATGCTGATTTGGCACTTACATGGTAAAAGCTGAAGAAGGGAAACAGGAAAAAAAATGTATTCCTCCCCCACCCATTTCTTTGGTTTTTTGAGGCATTATGCTTCTTTCAAATAATCAGCTTTTTAATTTCACATACGACTAACCAGCAGCCCAAAGAGAGAAACCACACCATGCATCCCACCCCTCCAAGGGGAACAGAGGGGAAAGACAACACTGTGATATTTTAGGGTTGCTCCCTACACTAACAACATAATATGGAAGGCATTCAGATCCATGGGACCAGCAGCCAAGTTTCCTGAGCATACGAAGGTACATGCACAGTCCCCCAGCTGTGAAGGCTCCTGGGAACAAAATTAGCTCAATGGAAG